CTGTGTATGTGTGTATATATATATTAGAGAATGTGGATAATGATAAAGGTGCACATGCACTAGACTGCTAAGTTTCACCATGTGTGTAGCCTGATGAGCTAGAACAAGTACAATGCAGGAGCAGTTGCATTGCATTGCCCATATCGCCGGTGGGGTTTAAATATTGATTCTAATAGCTATTGAACCAGCTATGCTATCAAGAACCATTAGTGGATCCAGACCGATGTATACGATTGCGATCCTGTGGATTCGAATCTTAAAACAAAAAGAAAGAACAACGGAGTGACAATGCAGTATTTAGTATAATATCTGTCTCTACATGCACCTCGCCCCCGATTGCAAGTGTCTTGAAAGAGCTCGTGTCTCCAAATGTCTGTCGATGCAATAATATATGGATGTGCTACCCGGCAGGAGTCAGAAAGTTGATGTGCTGAAGCGGATGTGGCGGCTCAAGGCTTCGGATGCCACGGTCGAGGCTTCGGATGTCACGGTGAATGAAGCTTGCCTTCGAAGTCTAGTCTAACTATTCGGAGTACACCCGATCAATTGCAGTCAGTGGACTCGCATATGTGTGAGAGTGCAATCATCAGCTTCAATCGTTTCCAAGTCCTGCTTTATCGGGCTTTTTTTTTCAACTCGCATCACAGGATCCATCGGAGGACGGGCCCCAGCAGGAGCAGGATGAATCCCTGCAGGCAGCGGACAAGCTTGCAGAGATGCTGTCCCCCAAGAGGGTTAAGCACCGCGGGGCCCGATTGATGGGGTTCTCTCCTGAGGAGGTATCTCGGCCTAGGAGTTGGAAGGGGTTCACGTCCATAGATAGATCCATTGTAACTTGTTGATGGCTTCTAGGGAGTGTAGGAGTGAGAGAGAAGTAAGAGAGAGAGAGAGAGAGGGAGGTAGTGAGAGAGAGAGAGTGGCCTGGAGGAGACAGCGACAGTCAATATGCAATTGTACTGCTCATGGCCTAGTAGCTCACCTAATGAAAGTAGCTAGCGGCTAGAGTGATTGGCAAGAGCGGGTTTGAGTTTCTATATATGTATATATATATAT